GTCCGAATTGAGGGCTTATCTATTGGGCTGCTCCGTCTATTGGTGGGGAGTGGCACATGCTGAAAACCGGGTCCAGCGTCCCATTAAAAATAACGTGGGTTACGGGGATTGCTGTCTGTTGTTTCTGTGGCTGCGGCCATTTCTGTTAACTACCCGGGGCTCTGTTTGTCCCATGGAGCTGCCAGTAATACCCAACCCATCTAAGAGCCCTTTTTATCTATGACCCCAGCCCTGTTCGACAGCTCCCCTGTTCAGTGTTTCCCTGTCCGGCCCTTGGCACCCTTTAAGCCCTAAACCCTCATTTAACCCTTACATGGCATTCGTAGTCTTTCAAGCATGAAGATCTACCATGGGTGGAGCGTGATGAACAGCACTGCAATGCAGCGCAGTTGATTCTGTAGGGAGAGATTATGCCCATGCAACTACCTGACCGAGTGTGTGCCCAGCTGCGAAGCGGATTAGCCCATTATGAGATGCGGGGTGCAGTGCAGCTGACTCTGTAGGGAGAGATTATGCCCGAACAACTGCCTGACCGAGTGTGTGCTCAGCTGCTAAGCAGATTGAACCGTCGTGAGATGCGGGGCTGACTGTGTTGCCATTTCTTGCGTTGTCCCTGTCCCGTACACTGTAACCTCACCTACTTCCTTTCTGGCCTCACAGCTGCTTTTATTAGTCCCATCTGCATCGATCCACCCCTCAGTCATGTTGTTCTGAGTTGTGTGGTCAGCAGGGGACCTCCCAGCCCCTGTACTAGGGGGGGAGCCTTGCTCACCACCATTACTGATCGGGACCAGCGCAGGGCTGCCGTATTGTCATTGACGAGATACTGAGAAGCCGTTGTAACCTTCGTTGTTATTGTCTGTTGTCGCTGAAAGTTGCTGATGTGCTTGCAATGTGAGCCGGCTGGCCAACCGGTGGGGAAGGTCTGGGATCGGGAGAAGGGCAGGCGGAAGCGTGGAGCAGGGCGGATAGGGAGGGAGAAAGGGAGACTGAGGAAGGGGAGGGGTCTTTGTCAGTGGGGGAGGCGGAGGGGACTGAGGAGGGGGGGGACGGAGTGCAGGGTGGGGAGGACACAGGAAGGGGAGGGGGCGGCGAAGGTGTATGTGGAGGGAGGCCGGTCGGGACCGAGGGAGGGGGGGTGGGGTGGGGGGGGGGGAAGACAACCGGGAGGGGGGGAGGAGGC